AGGCTGAGCGGCACACTTTCACCCCGAAGATGCGTTTAATACGTTGAAAATAGGGTGCTCAAAGCACTAGAGAATTTTTTGTGAGTGTCCTTTTTGGCACACTACTTCGGGAGATCATCACACACATTTCTCATGACCTGATCGGGAGATGATCTCATGCTGAGGCTCACCTGTCAGGTTTGCATACTTATGGTATGGGGAAGTGGGCAGTCGTCAATTTACTGGCGGAGCCTTACATGAGTACCTCAGGGGTAATCATCTCTCCTGACCAAGGTTTATCCAAGGTTTATTAAGGCCTTCATCTTTTTCGATCCCAACTGTCTATACAGCGAATAAATTCAAAGACAGGACAAAGAAAATGTCGTCAAATGTATCACTGTAAGCTCCACTGTCTTAGCTTTGATCACCTGAATTATCCCACAATTTTTCTGCATTTCAAAACATAAAACTTTTTATTAGCTTTATTTCCACATTAGTGAAGTTGAAATAAAACGTGTTGCCGTTGATTATGGGCAATAGTATTTGAAACAATTACTTTTTCAGAATTAGCGATGCCATTTTTGGCAAAAAAGGAAAATTACGAAGTCATTAAAAGAATAACAGCACAAGGAAACATTGCTGGATGTCTCGTTCCAAAGCCGGCATTCAGTTTCCAGTCGTTGTCTTGGCTGCATGCTTGCGGTGAGCCGTTAGTGTCATGGGCGTGTTGCGAAGCTGCTTACGATGGGTTTTTCCTAAAAATCAAAATGAACCAGGTTACACATTAGACAGAGACGGTCCCAGACAGGGCTCGGTACAAGCTGGACCAGGGAAATTTTGAAACGAAGTCCCCTCGATTTTCGCTAAGTTTTACGAAGTCCCCCTTGACCCTAAACTTTAAACCCTGAAACCCCCCCCCCCCCCCAAAAACGAAACGTCGACTAAAAAAAACGTCGCAATTGGTCGACAAAGAACGATATTCCCTTTGCTTTTTATCCCAAAAACGATATCCAGCTTGCCCCGTGCCAGCTGGTGCCAGGCCGTCCCAGAAATTTCGGGAGAGGGAAGAGGGGAAAGGGCGAGGGGAAATATTTTTGGATAAAGGTGCATGATTAGCCACGCACTTTGAAAATTTTTGGGATGCTTCCCAAATTCGGGGAACCGCAGCCACGGCTTCAAAAAATCTTTACGAGATCAAATTGAAATTCAAAAATCACAAAAGTACATATTTGCAAGTGTGAGAAAGTCATTTATACTTATGTAAGAAACTTCTTTCTGATGAGTGCAAAGAAAACGGGAAAGGCAGACAGAGGCAGAGGCAGCATAGTCCATGGTATTTAGCAAATATGGGGTAAAGACATTATTAACGCCTCTATTTGAGCAATTGACTTGGCGACATTGCCATCTGACCGAGAAACCATTCAAAATTTCGTGAAATTATCGTCAGACTATCTGATGCGCATAAAAGAGAGAAATATGGATTTTGGAATTTTTTGGTTTTTCATTCCTTGCCTTCGAAACAGTAGAAGCACCGGAGTGCCGCTATAGGAGAGAGAGAGTGCCGAAATCTACCTAAAAATTACTGTAGAGGAGAAGCGCAAGTGAACATGGAGACTAAAAATTGAAAATCTGCGTGTGTTTGCAAAACTCTCACAAACTTATTCGGCTGAAGCTTGACATAGGGGTTACCTAACATGCTGACCACGAAAACGATGCTGAAATTGCATGATAGGAGTTTTTGTAAGATTACTACGGGTTTGCGGATCCCATCCTAGACAATAAAAGAGGCTTTGACTCAGAAAGTGAATATGAAATTAGTGTCTGGCGAATCAAATAAGCCCATTACTAAGAGTCTCGGCGATTTTTGAGGTTCCGATTCCCTAGCCATTGAAGTTGTCCTCAGCAGCCTTACACATCATTTGCTCGATTTGTGAGGGCGCCAAATATCTTGCCTCTAAATTTCTTATTGTGCCGAAGGAGTCAGTCAACCTTTGGCAACGATTTCTGCACAATAAGAAATCACTGTTCATGCATTTTCCATAACCTTAAAAGTCCTCAAAATTTACTGTTTTTCGAAAAATGCGTGATATTTTCCTATTCAAATTCAAAATTCAAACCGTTTATCGCAAATGTAGCAGATATTACGTTCTAATATTGCCAAAGTTTGATGCAAAATGAGCTTCCAACTTAATTCATTACAAATTTTGAAAAGGAAGATTGGGATTGCGAATGCCAGCGTAGAATCTCCTACAGATTGTGGCATTTAAATCAAGCGTTGACTTTTATTGAAAAATCAATCACTAGACCTGATATAAAATCAGTTTTGTAAAAGTTTGAACACCTCATCAAAAATGTTCGGTACAAACATACCTCTTCTTTTTGCTAAAGCTGCTTTTTTCATAAGAAAACTCTTAAAATGTGCAGCTTTTGCCTCTCTTCTCGGCGACTCTGTTATACCTGGAAATATGTATTGATAGTTGACTTAGGCAGCTAACATAAATTGGCATGATCATGCATATTTCGCGTTTTCTCATGCATTTGTGAAGTCTGCTAGCGCGTGCAAGTAAGCGTCTTTCAGTAAAAAGTATTTGTGCCGAGGCGCTCAACTATTCGAAGTGTAAACAAGTTACTTCAGCTATAGCTGCAAATTTTCTTGACATTGAGAATTTTTAGAACTCCATTTTCAAGCTCTACATTACATTATTGTAAAAGAAGATTAGGTGCTACAAGAGGTAGAGCGAGTAATCGTCTGCAGACCAGCGTGATATGTGAGGGACAAAAAATATCTGACAAGGAAATGGTCAGAACTTAACCGAGCCATTCGAAACAAGCAGTATATCGTCGGACTCGTCCTAAAACGCTGATTTCAGACATATGTTTTTATCTACCAAGCGACAATCTGGGAGGTTGCGGGCGATTAATTATGATAAATTTCTCGAGTTTCGAGTTTTGACGAATATATTTCCTTGAAAGACAGCCTAATGGTGCGGATTTACAGTGGCTATGGTTATTTCAATTACCCTAATTTCACGCGTGCAAGGCGCGGGGGATTTTTTTTCCAAAATTGACTAGCCCAAATACGCCGAAGAACCTTGCAACCAAAGGACCCTATGCCGTGCTGTATATTGCTTAAAGGCAGCGTACACCCAAAACAAATGCAACAGATGTTGCAACAGCAACTGCAACTGCAATTGCAGCTTACGCTGTTATGGATCCGTCCGGAGGAGGGGGAGCGAAAGAAAAGGGGCGGCATGAAAGAAAATTGAGGGGGGTTTTCTCCGCTCAGAAGCAACATTGGGAGACCGGACCAACGCAGTTGGTCTTCTTCTGGGCCCAGTATATACACGGTGTAGAAAGATCTAGGAAATTCGGTAACTCAAATTTTGGGTGTACGCTGCCTTTAAGAGAATTGTACGGCATAGGGATCGCTTTCTGAAATACTTTGGAGCGGCTGAGGGGTTTGATTGAAAATCGAAAAAGGTGCACCTTGTACGCGTGAAATTAGGGTAAAAGGAAGAAGCACACCCATCAAAAACCTGAATAACTGTTTTTGAAACCTATTTCGTGAACATGCGCCACAGAACGCCTGACAAATCCCACTATTAAACGCTCATAACTCCTCCCAGATAATCGCTTTCCAGATAATGCATATATTCGTAATCAGCGTTTCAAGCCGAGTCCGATGGTACATAAATCGTTGAAACTGGCTGGGTTAAGTTCGAACTTTCCTTGAGAAATTTTCTTGATATCTAAATTTAGCTTGAAAAAATTTGAATACATTTCTCAGAAATATTTGATGTAAATATACCTTTTTCCTTTTCCAGGGCATCTAATTTCTTTACGAGATGATTTTTAGCAGGTGCTGTTGCCTCTTTTTTAACTCTTCTCGGTGGCACCGTTGGACCTGAATTGTATAGTTGGCTTACGCAACTATGCTCAATAATCATGCAAACATCGCTTTGCTCGCGTTGCTCGGTTTATTTACGGTATGTTTATGTTAAGAGTAAGCAATTTTTAATTCGAAAAGAAGTTTGTCTCTAAAAACCTAATGTTTTGCTGGAATTTTACATGGAGTAGAAAGTGATGAATTCAGTCATCAAAAGCTTGGAGTGTAGCTGATTATTGCATAGTCATAGCTAAGAAACAATGTTTGTAAGCTTGTTAATTAGTACAGGGTGCGGCAAAAGTCTGGGAGCCTAGTACTTTTTCGTACAAAACAAGAAGGGAAGTACCTAGAAACGAAAAATTTGGCGCACACATAATGCGAACCATTGCAGATACAGCCCAGTTCTTGAGTTGCAAAACTGCCTCTTTTGGCTTCCACGCAGCCCTACAAAATCTTGGCAGGTCCACCTGTCATGGCACGCAGGTAGTCGTAATGGAATTCGCCCCACGCCTTCACAATAACTGCTTCTTTTACCTTGGCAAATGCGCAGCATGATAGAGCAAACTTTTGTCTACAACATACTTCCAAAAGAATTTTTTGCATTGCTTAGGAATAAAAATATTGGATTTTAAATTAGAAGCATGTGTACGTCGCATACCGGTATTTTGGCTACAATTGCGCGTAAAAACTTAAAAATATATTTTAAAAAGTATAAAAGTGTTCTCATGGCCGATTTCAATAGATTCTAATTTAGAAGACGTATGCAATAAATACAGCCTTGTTCCAGTGCCTATTAAGCATTCTATAGCTTTTAAATTTGTTCTCAAGACGGATTTTCACTGGCACGTAGGTAACATTCGCAAACTTTTATTTTCCGTTCATGCGAGAACAGCTCCTGGCAAAAGCAAAACTAGGACACAATAGCGCAAAGCCTCTTCTATGTTGTGTGCATCGAAATGTCGTAGAATATTAACAGCATCTCTAGCTACAGCAAAAATTGTAAATACCAAAAATTCTGGTTTTTTCGCTTTGCAAAAGTACTAGTTTGGTAATTTCCATTCTTACAAAAACATATGGCAGCCATTTCCAGCTAGATAAAGTGTATTCTGTAGAGGATGACCCCAGCATCATGTGGCATAAAATTGAAATCAAAAACATCAGTATCTTTTTGATTGCAGTACTGCAAAGTTAGGCTCCCAGTTTTGCCGCACCCTGTATAAGCGTTGCACGATAGAATTCTTCAATGTCTTGATCTATTCATAGACAATCGCAATTGTTAGACAAATACCTGTTAGATAAACACAGTCCCCAAAATCTATTGCTTGCTTGCTTTCGAGAATTATCATGAAAGGGTAACAAAAAACATCAAAATGTTAGCAAACTTTTTGATTTTTAGCGAGAGCATTGAGGACGCTAATTCTACTTTTTTCAAAAAACCGCTCTACAACGATATTTGTACACGTCCTTGCCGGACTTACACATTTATAATCGGTAAGGTGACCATAAGGGGCGGCGTTTTTCAGTGCTCTACACAGTCTTTAAGCTTCTTGATTTCCTTACTTTCCCGTCCAACATTTTTTTTAGTTTCTCAGCATCTGAACATTGCACACCCGTTTCCTTCTCCTTTCTGACTGATTCGGATTTTACCATTTTTTCACCCACGTAAATGTTGGGTTTTTTAAATATTTGCCTCTATCGATAAAATATCCCCTCATCCCCCCCCCCCCCCCCGCCCGCTCCTGCAGTTCAAACACTCAAGCTGTTTCCACTCGCGGTGTAAGATAGGTTGTTTCATTTCTTCAAAATCAAAATGCATGTTGACTCGGTTGCTATTAGACCCGAAGAGGATGATTAGATTGACCTTTTTGCTATAAAGCTAATTCGCTCAAATCTAGAGAAACCTTTGACCCAATAATCAAATACTCCTTGTATTGAAAGACGGCTAGACAGACGATTAGAAAAGAAAAGGGAACACTACTAAGGAATGGTTCGTCTATAATAGCGGACTGCGTCAAACTGCGGAGTTTCAACAGCGTCAGATAGAGGAAAACGCGTGAATTTGCATAGATTTTATGCATCCCTTAAACGTTTTCTTCTCAATTCTCGCAGTCCAAACAAAATTTACCTTTTACACGCTTCTTGTTTTCAGTGTACCAGACGTTTTATGTGTAACCGGAGCGCGATTTGGTTTTAAGATTGCTGACTCCGAATATCGCTTACCTTCATGTATTTTTTTCCAGAGCTCTCGGTAAAAAACGGGGTGTATGCTGTAAGTTCAGCCAATTTCGGAGTTGAGGAAATGTGCATTCCAACGATCATGAATGGGATGTTTTCCGCTTTTGAATCTGGTCATCTACATCTTCAATAACAATGACCGTTGCTACTAAATGGAGTAAGCCATTATATCATATTTTCCTTGCAAGACTTGTTGTTAGCTCAAAATGTCGCTGTTTCCACACATCGCCACTTGAGATCAGAATGTAGTTTCGCTTAAGATCAAACTCAGTGCGAAAGAAACATTTTCGTCTGATATCTAAATTTTGAAGCTGATTTTAGAGACAAGTAAAACTCTTGAAAACATCAACTGGTTCAGACTTTTTAAAAACTATGAGATCAACGTTTTTTTACCGATGCTTTGGTAAGACCTGTTTACTATTCACTGAGCACGAACCTTTACGCTTTTCTGCTATCTAAGAAACCCATCCTCTCATCTCCTGGAAATACGCGAAACGTTTCAGAGCAAAAACTCCTTCTTCTTCTCATAAGGAAAGCTATCTAACTTAGCTCGGCCTTTTGGTAAAAGGCATAAATATTCTCAATCAGCTTTGAACGCTGATTTCAAATATGCTATTCCTAGCTGCCACGCACTATTCCGAAGCGAGTTATGAGCTTTTTTCTACGCAAAATTGGCACACTACTGAACATGGGGAGACTGCTTGCAGATAAAGATCTGCAAAAAAAGCTGCTGAGTTATCGAAATAGTACAAATCCAGTCTTTTCCCACTAAAAAAAGCTTAACATAGGTGTATCAGCACTTGATTGATGATGACGTGATGCCCGTGAATCGATGAGCATGCCAATTTTGCGCAGGAAAAAGCCCATAACTCGCTTTGGAATGGTGCGTGGCAGCTTAAAATAGCATATTTGTAATCAGCGTTTGAAGCTGATTCAGACTATACATATCACATGCAAAAAGGCCGAGCTAAGTTAGATAGCTTCCCTTGTCAGTTACAAGATTTTCTAAATGATGTCTTGTACAGGGTGCGGAGAAGGTATTGTCTTTCGATAAAGTCGAAAAATTCGCCTGGATTCCATATTTTTCTGGTAAATTTGACATAAATCTCAAGATTTAAACACATTCTAGCACGTTTAAAAAGAACTGGCCCAGAAGTTCTGCATTTTGAACCGGCGGCGGTCCCTCTTCGCGAAGCATCCCACATCATCTTTAGCAACTCTCTTTTACAATTGTGAACAGGTGTGAAATTTTTTGAGAATTATTATGTTTCCAAGTAGATTTGAGAAATCTCCTATTGCTTAAGAATGCAGTCGTGACTTCGGCATATCCTGAGAGTAGCCAGTTCGCAGTTGCATCAGGAGAAAACTTGTGGATTTTTAGAACGAATATGTTGCCGCGGCGCAGAGTACGATTGGCGTGGCCCAGAGACTATGGCAATCGATTATTCACAGAAAATCACGATCTGGAAAAAGTCCGATGTTTTACATTATTTCTGTTACTTTATTTTGATATCTGAAATTTTGAGTCATACTTTGAATGCACTTGATAAAGCAAGAGCAGTTAGACTTGCCCATCATCGAGATTTTTGCGATTTGCTTGGATATAATTTTCCTCGTTGAGCCGCAAAACTTAACCCGCTGATTAAGTATGAAACTTCGGAAAATAGAAATTGCTCTACACACTGTCGCAATTTGAAATCGATACCACTTTTGGTGGTCAGTTACAATCCAACACGCTCAAACGCTCGGCGATGAACCTGCTAGCAGTAATCACCCGCTTTGCTGGACGGAAGAAGACCGTTCCAGGTCAAACTTGTCATATTTAATCTCTAAAATTTTGTCTGCATATAGAAATCGAAAAAAAAACATTTTTTATATTTGTGAGGTGTTTTGGGAGGCTAACTGAGAGACAGTACTTTTTCCGCACCTTATATAAGAAAGTCTATGAAGAGATAAATCATCACATCAGGATTTGTCAAATAGCGATAAACTTTCTTCTAAATCCTGTTCTAAAAACTGTATGGTTATTTCAGAAGTAGAAACAAAAGCGGAAGCATTAGAGAAATACTTCTCTCTACTGATAAGACTTCTGGCAATCATGGTAATGAGATTTTCGTTGCCGTACCTCACTTCCGTGTTGCTGCTTTGTGGTTTACACGAAACTTACGAAAAGTTCAGGAGTGAAAAAAATGGAAGTTACAACAACTATAGCATACGATAGAATGCCTGAACGGTGAAAATAAATTGGATATGGTTCTTTTCAATCTTTCCAAAATATTTGAATGAATTTGACATTTATACTCCGAAAACTTGAAATTATGGAGTTGCGCAATCGCTTGACCAGGGCCGGTAGTAATCCCCCCGACCTGGCGGCAGGTCTCGTCGGCAGGTCGCTGGCACTTTTTCCGTGAGGTGGCCAGAAAGTGAAACCCCAAATTTAGGCGGTCCCAGGCCTATTTCCAAAAAATTTTCTCGATAAAGATGCCACCTAGACTCTGTAGAAAACTCCATTAGAAATCTGCGGTTCTAGAAATCCTTTTGTGGGAAAATATCTGGAAGCGCAGAAGGAGCTGCCGGCAACTTCGCGATGTATAGGCTGTACCAACCAGCATCGGTCTCGCGCTGTCATGCCTTGCGAAGGCGCACGGTCGCATGCGACGTGCCTTAACGCGTAGCAGTGTTCGCACGCGTCAAACCGCACCGTCGCAAGTCGCCACAGGCGCGACGTCACATGACCGATGCTGGTTGGTATAGCCTATAAGTTGCCGGCAACCTGGCGGCAG